GAACTGGTTCTTAACAAATATATGTACTGTATACAATATCTTTTCTTTAGATCTGTTTGTTTATTATTTTCAACCACAATCTGCAGTTACACGAAATCCATGCACAACGGCGCTACACCTGTCAATCAAAATCACTCGATATTGTGAACTCAGTCTGGTGTTACGACAGCATTTCCGAAGTGATTCAAAATATTCTATCGGCTAATTCTAATTTTTCGCGTTGAATAATAATATTTTGGAACAAAGTTGGAATTAAGGCTGGAGCTGCATGCTGTGAATTTATCACACCTGCAATCTGCAGTCTATGTATATGAAGCATCTGTTGAGTAATGAATCAGAGAGCATAATATGCGGAACAAGTTTGATTGAGATTTTTACTTTTCCTTTAAGATAAAATGATTAATAACATAATTTATGCATCTAATAGATACATATCAATGTACATGTGTAGCTTTTTAAAAACAAGAATCTGTAATTGAAAATGTGAAAGTGAAGAGTTTAGGTAATAGTTCTTAACCAAAATTTAATGACAGTTCATTCCTTCCTAGTCTCTATATAACATTTAATTACGGCCGTGCCCTCTCCCCTTCAATTGATGTCTTATACATGATTTTAAATTCTGTTTATGTATCAAGAAATTTCCACAGGTACTTGTGGACAGGATCCCCCCCCCCCAAATTCAACCCCGATGTTTGTTGGACATTTTTTTCCACAAATTATATTTATTTCACTTATTCATCATGTGTACCATAGGAAAAAATCGAGTACAAGTACCTGTGGAAAGTTCTATTTGCCCCCCTCCCTCCAAAAAAACTGAAATTGCTTTCTACGGGCTTGACAAAAGGTACTTGTGGACAGACACCCCCCTCCCCCCCCCCCCCCGATATTCAACCCCGGGGCTTGTTGGACATTTTTTCCACAAATTATATTTATTTCACTTACTCATCATGTGTACCATATGAAAAAATCGTGAAAACCCCATCTGATAATCGTTCCACACAAAAAATGCCTCACTGTGTATAGTTAAAACATTAATTTTTCATATTTCTTGATGAAATTAACATTAAAAAAAGCAACACAAAATTAATACCGGATTACATATCGCTTGAATTTATCATAAAGCAGAAAATCTGTTCTGCGGGCTTCAAGGCCAGCTCAGGAACCTAAAGATGTCCTCATTTTCCAAGTCCAGTACAGAACGTAAAATAAATGAAATAAATCACACGATCACTGGGATGAACTCAAAGAAAGAAGACTCTTGAGGAAAAGATATTTTGATTCGACTTATAGACTGAAATAAACCGATATTCTCTTTTTGCCACTCTTTCCTGGTGCCCTGGGACTCTGAATGTAGGATCAGTATTTTTTTTCACAGGTCCGTTGTACGGGGGGGGGGGGGGGGCAGACCTTCTGAAAATAGTCTTTTGCTGTAGTTTTAATATGTAAATTTTGATTTAGTTGCTGCTTGCACCCTCCCCACTCTTTGTTTCTCTACGGTCATACATAGGCGAATCCCAGCAAAAATGTAATGACCCCCCCCCCCCCCCTCCAACACACACTTTCTTTTAAATATGTATTGCGATAGGACTTAAAATAGGAAAACATTTTCTGCATATCTCTACATCGAAAAATATAAAACAAATATTTTTTTTATATTTTCTTTTTAAAACAACATAGATAATTATGCATAACTAATTAAATACTGAATTAAATATTTATCTTTGCAGACAATATGCTCTGGGTTATAGAACATGATGTGAAAGCGTATCGTAATGCACCTTGTAATCCTTTGAATTTTCAGATTTAAGGCCAATGCGAAAACCCAAAAACGCCGACATTTTTTTATGCTACTGTAATCGAAGATCCGGGGGGCATACAGTTTTTGTCCTGTCCACCTGTCTATTTGTCTGTTAGACTGTGTTAGCCTCTTTGTCCGCAAAAAACTATGCCCATAAAATTTGATTGGTTGGAACTACTGCTTTCATATTTCTTATGTGTATTCCTAGTAACAAGGACTTCCTTCAGGTACCAACATATTTGACCTCTTGACCTTGAACTTGGAGTTTGATCCTCTTTCGTAAAATTTTACCAAACTATAACCTTGGCCAAAACTTTTGAACAGTTGGTGCTATGGCTTTTATACTTCACATCTGTATCCCTTGTGATAAGTCTCCTCCTTGGGTATAAATATGTTTGACCATTTGACCGTGATCTTGGAGTTTGACCAACTTTTAAACAACTTTAGCCTTGACAATAACTTTTGAATGACTAGTACTAGGACTTTTATATTACATAGGTAATTTTCTTGTGACAAGGCCTGTCATTGTATATCTTTAATTTTGACCATTTTACCTTGACCTTTGAGTATGTCCTACTTTTGAAAAACTTAAACCTTGGTTTTAACTTTTGAACAGTTGGTGCTAAGGCTTTTTTAAAACCATATGTGTATTCCTTGTAACAATTAAGACCTTCTCTCAAGTACAAACAATTATGATCCCTTGACCTTGGAGTTTGACCTTTTAAAGAAATTAACCTTGGCAATAACTTTTAAACTGTTGCTGCTGTGGCTTTCATACTAGTATATATTTCACAGTATATTCTTTGTTCAAGACTTTTATTTGGGTAATAACATTTTTTGATCTTGACCATGGAGTTTGACTTGCATTTGAGAAACTTTAACTTTTGCCATAAGATGCCATATGGGGGCATCAGTGTTTCAAAAATCACACGTTGTTCAGTATCCAAATCGGGCATAAAACATTTACAATGATCCTTTAAAGCAGTGAGTTGAACCTAATAAATTACGACTATAGAAATTATGATAATTTATTTCGATGTATGGTCTAAAAAAAAAACGTTTATTATACCTCTGTGAAAACTAGCTTACAAGTGAAAAATCACTAGTAAAATAGAATTTGATTGGCCGAGAAAGTCACGTGTCCATCATATTTGCCCTGCAACAAAACGTCGTGTTTCACGATTGTGACGTCACAATTAAACGAGTGAGGAGTTAGATTATTTATAGCGACGCTGCTAACTTCGTTCGCGCGGTAACAACAACTAAAAATTCACCCCAAAAAAATCACCTTAATTAATGGAATTGCATACAGATAGTAGATTAAACATTCTTTGTTAAAATGTTTGCACTTTTCAAAATTCGTTTATGGAAGTACAGCTAACATACGTCATGAGACGTCACAGTCTAGACGTTCCAAATGTCTCGTGCTGTTTGAAGAGGCGGATCTTAAAATTAAGTGAACAATGCACTCGCCCAACGGTCGCACCGTCAACATATTATCGTTGATTGATTGTGTCGATTTAAATGTGTAAAAATGCAATGGTGTTTGAATGTTACTGGTGTGATCACACAAACTTGTCACGTAGGAATTTTTTTTTAATGAAACGAGGCTATTGGTGTACCTGTAACTTATATCTCTTTCATATCGTTCTCATCAAATGCATGTTTGCTTTATTCATTGGATCTCCTTTGTAATTCCTGCATTTTGGTTAATTCGGTATTATAAACAATTTATTGCATAATAGAGACATAAAGATTTCTTCGCAAATGAAAAATCATATTTCCCTCGGGCGTTGCCTTCGGGGAGTATGATTTTTCATGGGCGAAGAAATCTTCATGTTGCCCTCGCGGAATATGATTTTTTATGGGCGAAGAAATCTTCATGTCTCCCTCACTATCATGCAATAAATGCAAACTGTGAACTTGTCAAGTCCGAAACACACAAAAGGGTATCGCTGATATCATACAGAGTGTATCATTGCCTTGATCAGGCCCATAGGAAGCAAATTCAGTTTTTTTTTTGGGGGGGGGGGCACAGCCATACATTTTCAGTTGACAGTTGAGGGGGCACTACTACCATAAATTTCCTGACAAAAAAAGGTCACCAACTACCAAAAATTCCTTGACAAGCAAAAAAAAAAAAAAAAGAAGGTTATCAGACGCTTTTATTGAGGTGGCACAAGCTATAGTATCTATGTCTACTATAGTAATCTATATATCGGCAAAATTATTGGGGGGCACGCCCCCCTCGGTTCCTACGGCCATGTTGATTAAATTTAGGGTCACTAAGGAAAGAATGTTTTGACTGGATGAATGGTCTGAAAGAACATGTGTTAACTTGTCGAGTCGGTAACACATAGATGGGGTTTTCTTATAACCAGAGTGTGTCATGGTTTGATGCAAGGTCATTTGAACGAGTTCAAGGTCAGAAACAACATTCCTTAACTGTCTTTCTACTGGTGAGACATTGCAAGTTGATACCCCTTACAAGATTGCTTATAACCTTAGAATGTGGCATGACCTTGACTCAAGGTCACTTCTTCCTATTCGCAGCTCCAACGGAAGACCTACTCGTTGCTTTGCAACGAGCTCTGCTCTAGTTTGAGTCACCATTTCGCAAGTTTTATGGTCGATACAATGACCTCGTCAGGAAATACAACTTATCATTAAGTCAAATGCTGAGTTTTTCATACTAATTGTTAGGCTATTATTTACACAGTGAATTGTCTACGGATCTTTTTGTCTACTATCACGACAAGGAACACACTCCACCATGGCACCTGATCTCACCTCTGATATTTTTGAAGTCCGTGTTTGCTCTGCTCCCAATTTTTATTCTGTAACTTTTTTTTTAGTTTCAATGGTCTTTGAAATCGAATATTGTTCGTTTTGTTCATATTTCAGTTAGTCAATGGGAAGTTATTTATAATGATATAAATTTTGTTAATTAATATATATATATATATATATATATATATATATATATATATATATATATATATATATATATATATATATATATATATATATATATATATATATATATAACCTGTAGCTTTTAATCACGTGTGTGGAAAAAATGAAAATTATATTATTTTTCTTTATCAGTTACTAAATTACAGTTTAGCAAATTATTTAATAGATACGTTATCCGGATTCCTTGTTGTTTTTTTTTCAGAATCATTTAACAAAAACCAACACAATGCGTCAAATACTGGACAGGTGCTTACCTTGTCTCGTGGCTTGGTCGTATGTCCTCGTGTTTTATTGCCTCGGGAAACCAGATATATCTGAGGAGAAGCCATTTTCTTCATTTAACTTCAGTCACTTAATTATACAATATGTATCTTTGTGTGGAGTCTCAGCTTTGTGTGATGTGTCTTCTTTGTCATTCCTTAATTTATCAGAAATTAAAATTCCTCAGGGCACGATACAGGTATGTCCCAGGTGTTCCTGTGAAGAAAATTGTTTAACAAATGCAGAAAATCCATGTTGCCCTGACCTTTATTTTAAAACTGGTGTGCAATTTTGTCGATCAATCGAAGTTACAAACAACAGAGTAAACAAATATTTTTATATGTTGATTGAGTCTTGTCCCCTTGAAACCGATCAATCTTTAAAGGAAAATTGCTCAAAAATAAGAAAACCATCAGAACGGCTTGTTTTGCCGCTAGTGTCCAGTACGGCAAATAATCTGTTATTTTGGAATAAATACTGTGCAATTTGCCATAATATTTCCTCTTTTCAACCATGGAGTTTATTTTTTGATTGTAAAGAACCAACAGATTTCAACTATTTATCTTCCTATGATGATATAGTAGACACAGCTAATAGAGCTGGGTGTTCGATTGCTTTCCTAGGAAATGGAATCGAATGTGTTGTTGATGACCTCAACACCCTTATTTCAAAATGTAACATAACCGGAAACTGGGAAATATTTGACTTTTCAATTGATTTTGCATGTAGAAGTGCTTTTAACATGCCGTACAAAAACGTTTTCAAAAATGTTTTCTGTTATATCTGTAATCCGTCTTCTGTACAACAAAACAGCAGTTTAAAAGTTCAAGATTGTGCAGAAATGCCGATGTTCTAAAAACTCTGTAAATATTTTCCGGAAACAGTCACCTTATCACCTTATAGAAATATTTTCTGCTTCTTGTGCACAGACATTTCAGAAAAGCAATACAAAGCAACTATTACATTATTTAATAATAAAAAGGATGCAGTTGAAATAAAGTACGAAATCAATTTGTTCTCTGAAGTTCTTGAACATTATTACAGGAAATGGACTAATCAATACAACAAAGATGTTGTTAATGCAGACATCAAGCCCTTGTTGTCAGATATAAACATAACTAGTACTGTGATAAAAAACATTGCCTTTTCTGGTCGTGGTCTCTGCAGCACGAATCTTCACTCTACGTATTTAAGAAATATGGCAAGACGGTGTTCCTGTAGATTTGGTTGCTTTGAAGATTGTTGTATTGATCAGGCACTCTCCTATCCTGTAATGTCTTGCATTAACAATGCTTTTCCACCAAAACAGGTTGAAATTGACGGAAATTTAGTCATAAACAAATGCTTTTATAAGATAGAAGGCCTGTCTCATCGGTGTATGGTCGAAAATTCTGGCGACTTTTTAAATGCAGTTCCTGTAACAGAAATTCATTGGAAGACAACGTATAAAAATTTTTTTTGCTACTTTTGTAACGTTGAAAACAAGACACATACAATCTTGCCAAAAACAAACTTCAAACAGAAAGTTTTGCCATGGAATCTTATAGTGTTCTGTAAAGATTTCATAAACCCTGACTACTTTCCCTCGTTCCATAGATTTATTAGCATTTTAAAAGAAATGAACTGCAGAATAAATCTACTGCCCCATAGTTCATCAAAGAAATGTGAAGCTAGAAAACCCGAAGTAAAAGTTTGTAACACTACCGGACTTTGGAAAAAAGAAGACGCCGACATTAAGCGAGCATGTGAGAGAATCAATCCAGGAAGACTTCCAGTGATAGAGGGAACAGGGAATAATCGGAAAATCTATAAAAATACATTCTGCCAAATGTGTAACCCAGTGAATAAGGAACCCGAAGACATCATTAAGACTTGTGAGAAAGCGAAAGTAAAAGTACAGAAGTATGCAGAAGAATCATGTGAGAAACTTCCTAATGTTCAAATGTCGTCTAATTATAAGAATATATTTTGTGAACGATGTAATGGCTATGCAATTAGAAATGACAAAAAAAATAGGGGGTTTTCATCCTTTGCTACCGCGCATGCGTCATCATCCTGACTTTTTTGTCCCAAGAATGGATTTTATTCCGGGATCACATGGTTTTTATAATCATATTCCGGTAAAAAAAACCGTGAAATAGAACACATGACTTATTTCAGGACAATATTTGCACTCAATGTATATAACAACGATGTACAAGAAGAAGAACACAAATCCTGTCTTCCTGGTCATCAAGCAACCGCATTCAAGGTTTGTAGCAAATATTATATTGTTCCAGCGAAAGAATTAGGACATTTGCTATACTGTCAAAAATTGAATGTAGGGGTTGGTTGCTTCTGAAATGTTTTGGTTGGAAACGATAAAGACATCAAATTTGGAAAATATAAAGAAATGGTTGATTTTCTATGATGTTAAATTTTCCCACTTTTTTGCCTTTTCTATAATCTCTTTTTAATCACTTTAAAGAACTTCTCATGAAATCTTGAATAAAAATTAAAATTTATGTGACTTATAGTGATTTAATTAAGAGTTTACATTCCTTAACTATCGAAAGAGTTTATTTGTAACAAGTGTCCTTAACGACAGGACAAAATATTTAAGTTGAAAATCATAATTTTAAATAAGAAATCACACCAAAAACGCAGCAGTATCAATCTTTTTTTCACTTCAATATTCAGTCTAGTGGTCGTGGTTTTACAAAATAATCTTAACAATCGAATTTAAATGATACTATTAATATTAATAGCTTTAAAAATAAAACGATAGATCCCAGATCCAAAGTTAAAAATGTATGGTTGAACAAATAGTTTTACAAATTGGTTTGGAAATTGTTTAGATTAGTTGCAATCTTTGTCTTCCCATAAAATGCTTATCAGAGTGAAACCCTTTCGTGATTGCGGGGGCACACTGTATCATGGGTTACTTTTAATACTGTACTCAGTAAGAATTAATACAAGGCAAACTGGAAGTTAAATTTTTATGGTTAAATCTTTCGCAAATTTTAAAGTAGAAAAATAAAATCATCTAGCAATCAGTCAATTCAATTTCTGGCTATTGATAAATTGTCTTCTAAGCTCATACAAAGGGAGATATTATTTCTTCATTTTACAGATATTGAATTATTCTTTAATTTTAAAAGATATTTTTAAAGAAGGATATAGATTTAACATTAAGTACGGATGGTACAAAAACAATTGAATGTATTAATATTTATTTTTGGGACTTCTTTAATTTAAACGATTCGAATATCTAATATGAATTCTTACACTTTCAATGACATTAAAATTATAATTTCCTGCAATCATCTTTAAAATTATATTCAACTTCTCACTTATTTTAAAGACATTTTTGTGGACCTTAAACTTTTTGTAGTTGATATTATTAGTCCCCTACCGGTGAAACCGGAGGGGACTATAGGTTACCTCTGAGTCTGTCCGTCCGTCTATCTATCTGTCTGTCTGTCCGTCTGTCTGTCTGTCTGTCAGTTGGTTTTCCGCACTATTTTCTAAACGCTTGCAGATATTGAGCTGATTTTTGGTATGTGTCTTTACCTTGATTAGTTATAGATTAAGTTTGCATTTCGTTCCGCTTCATTGATTTTTGATGGAATTATGGCTTTTTCAATTTTTAACGGGAACCAGATTACAATTGCCGATAGGGGACTAGTTTTGCTAATGCAATACTTTCAGAATGCTTGTTCATTTTTCTTCTATAAACATGACTTAGATTATTGTTTTCATAACTTAAAAGGGGTTTTCAATTCAAATCGTAGTTAATTACCACTATGAATTATGAATCAATTATGCTACAAATGCTTAAATATAGAGGAAAATTATCCTTATGGCAAAGAATACATTTTGTGAAACAATCTTTTAATTTCTATTATAACAGCATTGTTTTGTAATTGGTTAAAAAGTTAAAACTGTAGTAATATAAATTATTGTCCCCCGCTTTCACTTAAAGTAGGGGATATTAATTTGGGTCTGTTTGTCCGTCCGTCTGTATTTCTGTCTGTTTGTAACACCTTCGTTTCCGCGCGATATCTCGAGAATCCTTTGAGCTTTTGCAATGAAATTTTACATAGCAACGCCCTTTGACCTAAGAAAGACCCCTGTCGACTTTAAGGTCAAAAGGTCAACGTTCAAGGTCGTAAATTCATACATTTCGTGTGTGTAACACTTTCGCTTCCGGGCGATATCTCAAAAAGCTTTCGAGCTTTTGCAATGGAATTTTATACCATAACACCCTTTGGCCTCTCTCACCCCTCTCAAAGCGTCCCGCCCCGTTTTTTTTTTTTTAATTTATAGTATTAAAAGTTGCTTTGCACTATTTTTAGCACGGGGGCATCTGGGGAGTTATGACGTATAATACAGGTTGTCGGCAGATTTATATTCTAATTACATCTATTAGAACTGTTTAGTAAAGGCTTAATTAGACATCATGTATTGTGTAAAATTTTGACAATATTGAACGTGAATATAAACATTATATGTGACCTCATGTTTGCATTTAATTTGCTGTATAATCAAGTGCCTCCGTTTTCTAGGGGTATGCACTTGTTTTGCATGTGAGAGGCCCCGGGTTCAAATCTTGGTCGATCTCTTTTTCTTTTTTGGAATTTTTTTTTGGATTTACTATATAAATGATAGTATTCAGCATGTGAAATGAAAAAAGTTATGACGTCTGGCTTGTACAAACTCATAAAATCATTATTACAGTGTGATAAATATTCTATACAAAAAGAATCTTCTATACACATATTAAAGAAATCTTTATATCCACATTGTTTATTTACTTCAATATACATGTATACATTTAATAATTATACAAATAAAGGGGAGCCCCCTCCCCCCCCCCCCGCCCCGAACTGCGCATGCTCTTCTTTTTCCCCTAAGCGGGGGGGGGGGGGGGGGCACGAATTCTCTGAATTAGCTTCTTTTATTTCTTGAAAGTATCTTATGTTTTCTATTAGCAATTCTCTCAAAAATCGGTTTTATTGTTATTTATTTCTGTTTTAGAACGAATGCAAAAACAAGACATGTTTTCCCGGGAAGATATTGCAAAATAACACGTGCGTTTCCCTACTGAAGCAGACAAAGAACCTCCGACTTGTACTGTACTTTTGGATGCATCAGACTGAAAACAATTCCAGGCCAATAACACTCCGCACGGAGCAGATCTTACAAATATTACAATTTACAATTTACCAGAAAATTGAGTCAATTACAAATTCAACATCTTCAGTAGATTTAGAAGAAACAATTCTTCTTTCAAACAAACCATGTCAACAGCGTGATATTATAGGACTTAAAGTATACGCACAATTAGTCGTTTTTATCCATGGCTATGTCAATCGCTTAGAGGTGGAAAGGAATCTTCTGAAACTTTCTAATTCCTTGCAGTCCTTTGTTTTCGATTCATTTTCATATGAGTTTAAATTATCACAAGTTTTATCTTGGAGAGTTTTCCCATTTTTTCTCCAGAAATGTCTTTTGACAGACGACGTACGACATATAAAAAGTCGTGGCATGTACGAAACTCGTGGAGTTCAGAAAGCTATTGGCTTACAAGGACTTCCTGGAGTGAAGGGAACTCAAAGCCCGCGAGCTCAGTGTACAGAAAGGTGTTTGTGAATAAGTTACTTTTATGTAAGCAAGTATTCTTATATCCTTCAGAATACAACTACAACATTACCATTGAAACCCTGCTAATCAGGGAACTGGGCATTCGTCTGTCAAAAGATAAATTTTTGCTTGATACGGACAATTCAGTGAGAGTATGTGCAGATGAATTAAAGAAAACTTTAAAATTAAAAAAGAGGTCTGAAAATAATTCTTATTTGTTGTTACCCTGGATAACCTTCATCTGCATTCTTATCTCGCTCATCTGTCTTTCCACTACATTGGTCATTTATTGTTTATTTTCATCACTTCGGACACTTCCCGGCTTGAACAACATGTGTCTAATCATTTCTCTCTTCGTTGCTCAAACTATGACAATAATACGACCTTATACTTTGTCCATCCGTTCTGTTTCCATTATATCTTCAATGACGTTGCATTTCTCATGGTTGTCCGTCTTTTTCTGGCTTCAGATCTGTTCATTTCACATGTTTCGAGTTTTTACTCGCAAAACTCACGTTATCAAAAGTGAAAGAGAAAACATATGTGTATTCATTAAGTATGCATTCTATGCCTATTGTTTCTCGGGATTAATTATATTGTGTCACGTCATTGTAAGTCTAATTATATCTGGCGGAAATCGTACTGGCTATGAAAACAAGAATAGCCTCGTCAATGACAAAATAGCATTCATTGTCACCGTAATTTCACCTATGCTGTTGATCTGTATAAGCAATTCTATTTTCTTTGTCGTAACAGTGCATCACATACGCACTACCCCGCATGCGCAGAAGAACCAGAAGCAAGCTGTGGATGTGTGGGTTTACGTGAAGCTATTTTGTCTCACTGGTCTAACGTGGATCTTTCAGGTGGCAGATTCCTTTCTGTCCCTGTCATTTCTGTCATATGTTGTTGCCATTCTCAATGGACTCCAAGGATTGTTTCTATTTCTGAGTTTAGTCTGTAATGGGAGAGTTCTTAGATTGTGTTGCAAACGAAGGGCAATTGATTCTTCTACACATAATTCTTTATCTCATTTTAATTCGTCTATAAATTCTACTAGGTTTTAGTACAAATGACATTTTTGACCGGTCGGCAGGGGATGCTCACTCCTCCATGGCACCCGATCCCACCTCTGATATTTTGGAGGTCCGTGTTTGCTTTGCTCCTATTTTGTATTGTTTAATGGATTGTTGAGCTTAAATACTGTTCGTTATCTCCATATATTTCATTCTATCAAAGGAATGATACATATTTAACAAATTTAGCAAATATTTATTCAATGCATTAATCTGTATTTACTTTTCAATTTGATTCCTATTCATATATTTAGATGATTATAGAAAACACATCAATAAACTTCTTCTCCTTCATTTATGATCGTTTGGAATTATTTTGATTTTTTTCCCTTTTCATTACTACATTCTTTACAGACAAATAAAATTCGTCTTCTAATAACTCGCATTATCTCAACATGCATTGTTTTTATTTAAAAAAAAAGAAACAAGTTCCTTTT